GCTGCCTCTCCCTCTATTTGCAGAAAGTGCGGTCTCTGAAGGCTTTTTTTTTTCCCTTTTTTTTTTCATTTAGGTGCTGCTGAAGAGAAGGTAGCCAATGAAACAAAGGTAAATTTAATTATAGAAAAATGTAGCAGTCTTCATCAAGACCACTCTCTCTTCCCAACAAAGAGAAAATGAAAATAAAAGCCCTTTGGAAAAGCTGGGGAAATATTTGGGGCTGGGAATGAAAGGGAAGCAGCTTGACAACTATGCTGAAAGCTGAATGTGGCTTACCCAGGAGTGCCAAAATGAATAAATGTGGTTTATTCCATTATATTAATGAAATGGTTAATTCAGTTGCCATAGCAACAAAGAACTGCCATGCTAAAAAGCCAAAGGGCTCTACATAATGCCTGATACAAGGTCTCTCTAATTCTAAAGCTGATTTTCTTAGCTACAATAGCAGTGATATGTGTTTTCAATATCATCTTAAGCTTTTGCATCAAAGCCTCTAGCTAATCCAATAAATAGACTAGTAGCATAAAATGGCATATATGTTTGAACCTCATAAAACTTATAAAATGGGTTTACCTATGCAGAGTCGTAAGAAAAGACCTAGCAAGTGCAGAGTGAGGCTCTTTAAAGAGCCTTTTCTGTGTGTGACAGGGCAGCAGCACATGTGTTAAAATAGGAAGTTCCTGCAATTAGGAACCACATGACCGTACAGGGAATCACAGCAGAAGCAGCTGAAACATCAAGCCATAATTGTGCTTACCGCCCTGTCAGGTATTTCACCTTATGGAAATAGACTCTGATTTCTTTTCACTTACATTTTGCATTATTTTGTTGGAAAATAACAATGCTCAAAGCTTCCAGGCTTTCAGCCCTGTAGTGTACTGTGTGAAAGCCTCACAAAGGGTGACCTAGGACCCTGCCAGCAGCTGGGACAGCAGACAAAATACTATTAAATTCTGTGTCGAGGCAAAGGAAATTCAGCCACTCTACCTGGGAAGGCAGTGGTGCACAGTCCCATCCAGCATCTGCTCAGAAGGAGCTGCACACCGTGGTGAGGGACACTTGTGGTCCCTGTGCCTTTCTTTTGGGAGTGTTGGCAAACACCTCCCTCCTTGCTTTCCATAGCTTAACTGCGAGAGCACGTCCTGCAAGAAGCGCCTCCACTCACTAAACTCTTTGTCTTGACCCACACAAATCAAAGTGGGTGGTTTTTTTTTTAATATTCAGGCCATCTAAATTGGCATGAAAATGACAGCTCACGTCCTAAGACATATTAGTTCTCCATTACTGGGCATAAAGGTTTCAGTGCCTAGGTCTGAACCTGTTTCCATGAAAGCAAAGACTGTGGCCATTACTGATCTCTGAACTGAACAGGTGAGAACAATTTCTTTAGACTGATGGTCAGTTCCAGCTAGGTAATAGCCTGAATTGTCCATTGGAAGCAACTGCTACTGACCGCCACTGTCTTGACTACAGTGCCATGAAAGAGTCCTTGGAGCTGCAGGCAATAGTACTGAAGACCAACTTTATCATAAATTATCATGCTATCATATGTTGAAGAAGCAGACTGCTTTGTTGAAACTGCTACTGCTCAAGAATGAACTCCGGAGTATGTTGGTATTTGGCAAAGCAAGCTTAAACGGAGCAGCACAGGTTTCCAGCTGCTGTGCCTGGCAGGAAGGGTGTTTTCTGTTCCAGCAGATACCTGGCATCAATCTGCGTACATGGTCCAGCCTGGGCATGTAGAGGCAGCCAAGTGCAGGGTAACATGTAGGATTCTTTTAATAAAAATGACCTGTTCTGTACAGGCGAAAGGCAGCCTTCTTGCTTTGCGGCCTTGGGAAGCTCTGCCTGACATCGGCAAAACTCAGACTGGGCAAAGTTCAAGTGCAGAGATACAAGGAGAGAAAAATAAGTGTGTATGTGTAGGGGGGAACTCTTCTGAGCAAGGCTGGTGTGGGAAGCTGCATACAACCCAGCACATCGACCAGAGGAAGACCTAGTACAGCTGTTCTCCTGAAGAACTCACCGTAAGGTGTACAGGCTCTCAGAAAAGAGGAAACAGGCGGCCGCCAGGCTGCAGCAACCCAGACGGGCCACAGGCAGGCCAAGTGTATAAAAGGCCCAGAAGCAACTTTGAATTTTCCGATCCAGCTGCCTGGCGAGTCTGCCAGGTTGCCAGATGTTGCCAATGAAAACTTATCTTCCACAGTTCATCAAAGGAATGGAGCAGCCTGGTGAGGCAAAACTGACGCCAACAGAATGAATATTTTATCTAAAAAGTATATTTTATACTAGGAAAGATGTTGAAAGATATAAAATTTTAACAATATGCCCAATCCCATGTTACCGTAGATAAATAATGAAGCATACATTGTTACCATGCAGAATATGTTGTCAGACTCCATACTGATCTACCCCAACATTGTATTTCCATGGATACAGTCTTGACTTGTGTAGAACAAGGTGCTTCTATGCAGCAGTGGGGTTGGTGGCATTCAGTCAGGGTTTCAATGGGCTGCCTTGAAGCCAGCAGCCAGTTTTGCTGGGCTGACATAAAAGGTTAAAGGCAATAAAGGTGGAGGAGCCAAAGGTATGGGCTGGAGACAGGGAGAAGGCAGGAGAGACAGCTGCTGTGACACAGTGCTCGCAATGGGTGGCCCTGTGTCCCAGAGGAGGCGCCACTGAGGACATGGAGGCTACTCCAGTAATAAAGAATTCCAAATTCTATGGAATGAACAATTGGTGTCTGCAGAGCAGTTGTTCTCTGGCAACCAGTGCAGCATCAGAGCAACTGCACGCACCCATGTACATTGGCTGCAACACTGGAAATACTGGCTACTCATCAGCTTCATGCACACAGGCTACTTTTACTTTTGCCAAGAGAAAAATTAGGAGAAAATAAGCAAAATTAATATTTTATCTAAAATCATGAAAAATATATATATTTTAACTCCTATGTAATTTTTCAAATGCAGCTATTATAGTTGTCAATCCAGTGCCTTGGAAATATTATGTCTGTTCATTTTAGAGGCCAAAAACCAGGCCTGTATAGCCTGTTAGCAAGGCAAAACATCTCTTTTTCCAATGAACGTGTATGAGTGCATTGGGATTCGCACAAGCAGATTTGGCAGCTTTTTCAAGTATTTCTTGGACTGCAGAGCATGCACTGAACATGGGGAGCCTTTTCTGCAGGAATATGATGTGAATACGAATGTGCTAGTGGAGCAGTGGAGGATTAGCTACTGCATTTCTATTATAATGTTGGATATGGTTTACACTTTTTTTATTATTTTTTTTTTAATACTAGTAATCAGTAGGACAATATGTCTAAACATTAGTGAGTGGTAGGTTTATAGGATCTAGCCCAGCACATCTTTAATAATACATAATTCCTTAAATGTGTAACTAAATCACTTAAATATATGAGCTCAATTTGGAACCTTTTACACTTTGAAAATTCATATCCTTTTTTTTTTAATAACTGGCTACAGCTTTTGCAGAATAGACCAGATTTTTCTAATTTGTTTCCCTGGCTCCAGAATGTAGCTGGGAAGGATGGATTTCCCCAAGGCAGATGCAAAAATCTATAAACCCCAGCAAAATGTCCTTTGTGCATTCCTGTTTGTATTGTGCCTCACCCTGACGACTTTAAGACAATGCTGCAGGAAATGTCAAAGTGTGGCCATTTCTCTGCGCTCCTGCAGGGCTTAGATTTACTGCTGACTGTCAGAGTTAGCAGGGATTCACATTCACTTGGGAACACGTGTCCCAAAACAGTTAACAACCGATTTGATAGAACAGGAGCGAGGGACAGGGTGCGCGGGGAGTGTAACCTGTGCTCAGGGTAACTGTCCATTTACAGATTATAGTCTTGATTTTCATCTTGACTTATAAAGAGGGTCTAATCCTTCAAATACTACTTGATAGTTGCTTGGGCACATTGGATATCCTGAGACTACTGAGAAAATCATAGGAGAAGCTCACATTTTGCAGCTGAATTTCTGATGTACACATGCTGTGCTACTTAAACAAGATCTCTTTGCCATATACTGTATTTAAAGGAAGCAACACTACCAAATGTGATGCTTAAGTAATGCAAGAGTAACCAGGATGAGGACTGACAGCACCACAACCCGTCTTTCTAGTTGTGAGGTTACTATAGTCATACGAAAGCTCTCCAGAGGCAGCAGGTTCAGCCTCACACGTGCCAGAGCAGTGCTCTACTGTGTGCTACATCTTGTATTTGCTACCTAAGACCATAAAATGCTGCCTGCAGAAGACCAGAATTTGGTATCTCATCCTGCCCTCTCAAGGGCTTGCTGTTTGTCAACCAGCTCCTTGGAAGGAATTCAAAATGGGCATGCACAGAATTGCAGGACTTCATCTCTAACACTCCCAGAAAAGTCTGCTCTTACTGTGCTGCAGGTAAATATCTTCTAAGCAACATGATTATCTACCTGTAACTACTTGAGTGTGAAAAATCCACAATGATGCAGGGAAAAAATCAAGTATGAAGAGGAGGCTGTTATTGGAGACACTGTTCTTGAGCCTGCTGAGATGTCTTATCACATGAGCCCCAAAAATGTCTGCAACACCATGTTAGTGAACACGGACACTGAATGACATGCTGGGGAGGCAAAGCACACGTGTGCACATGGAAAGGACATCAAAGAAAGCCCAAGAGATGCCTGAGAGGGCAAAAAGCACGTTGCATTCTACACTCTAGGCCATTAATGTGACCTTGTGCCACGTGCTCTAGGTGTCCCTGCTGGAGCAGAGGGGTTGGACTAGAGGCTCTTTAGAGGTCCCTTCCAACCTCAACCATTCTGTAATAGAAGAGCATACACGTGAATTAACCCATTAATGAATCCTGGAATAAATTATAGAGTTCAGGAAAGACCACCTGACAAGCAAGAAAAACCTCTTTAGCAAATGAAAACACAAACCAAGTTGCTTTTAACATTTATTTGTAATTTGATGCACAGCTCATAATCCAAGAAAAGAAAGGCATGGTTTAGTTCAATCAAAGATTTGCTGACCACAATATAGGGTATTAAAAAAATGAATGGATACATCATTTATTGTTATTATGAAACTAAAGGGTCTATGTTTTAAGTGGAGTAAAGCCGATTGCAATGTATTCATGTTAGAAAGAGCCTACTGCACATGAAAAATGCATTAACACTGAGATTTTGTTTAGCAATGCACACAAATCTATATTTCTTTCTGCTTGTGAATTTACTATAACCATACATAAGCATTAAGCATGAAGAACTGGCATTGGGGGAAATCAGTTTGCCTGTTTTCCCTAGACATATGTTTTAGGTAAATGTAATTTGTAGGGTAGATATTCCATTTACAAGTAATCAGATCTCTGACCTATAACACGCACATTTTGGAACATTTTGGACACAGTTAAAAGTTATTTAGAGGATGAACTTTGAAGCAAAAATGGGTCTCACAGTTCAGAATCCTGAAATCCAACCTGGACTTCCTAATAATCTGCTTTAAACACTTTTCAATGGATAAAACTGTTCACTGTGGCAAAAAGTAACAAGCAAGCAAGCAACACACCGTACACATCTGAAGAGTCCAGCATGCCTTAGCAGATTGTAAATTTATTCTATAAAGTGTCTAGTGTGAGGAAGAATTAGAAAGGATTATAAAAATACATACTACTATATGCTGTAGTAGTTGAAAGCGATTAATCCAGTTCTTAAATCCTGTTTTAAACTCCCTTTCATTTCTTCCCACAGAAAAACATTCCTTTGTTTGACTGTTATGTACTTAATTACATCTTCTAAGAAACTGTTTTAAAACTAAATGCAATGTTTAATTACCAAATACCTCCCTGAAAACAGTTAGCTTTTACATTGATTTGTAGTTCATTAAAAATGCTTTCTTAATTATATTTACAGCAGAAAAATTACATAAAGATTAAAGAGACTATAGAGGAATTTGGAAATTGTGGCATGAATTGTAAGGAAAACGTTGTATTTCAAATAATGGACAACTGATGGCTATGAGTGACTAATTACTGCCTCTAATTAAAAAACGTAATTGTCATCAAAATAATAATTGGGAAAAACCCTGCGTTCTTTGCAACGGCCATCGATATTGCATTTCTGTCTAAGCGCAGCTTTTCACGCGTTGGTTGGCAAGCGGCTCGAGGGCAGCAGCGCTGCAGGGTTCCCCCTAGCCGGTGGTCACGTCGGCGGGGCGCCGCGCCAGGGGCAGCCCCCGCTTGGGCTCGTAGGGGCTCGTCCGGGCCACCATGCGGATGCAGGCGGGCACGGGGCACACGCTGAGGCAGAGCGTGCAGCCCGTGCACGCGGCGCCCACCGCCGGCACGTGCGTCGCGGGGTCCAGGGCAATGGCCTGCGAGCAGAGAGGCGCCTTGCGTTAGTGCTGCCGCGCACGGAGCCGTCGCCGTCGCGCCCGCGCAGCCCCTGCCCCAGCGCCGGCAGCGGCCGCGTGCGCGGCCCCGCTGCAGCTCCAGCAACCGCTGCTGCCAGGAAAGCAACACAAGCCTGCAGCCCCAGCCTGGCCAAATCGGAAATATTTGCCAGATTGTATCTCGGTGAGCGCTCACTGCCACCAGGGCTGGTTACAGGCAGCTGAGTTTGGCCCATGATGTTGAAAATCCCAGAGGGTTATCTATCCTTCATGGTGTTGCAGCTCAGCAGGGTTGTTGGTTTGGAGGAGTGATCAGCACTCTCGCGCATGGATTCAGCACCGTGCAGGCTGCAAACACTACCCTGACTTCTTTTGACTTGTACTTTCAGCACATCATAAACAATCCAATTATGTAATAAGAAGTAGTGACAAATGCAGCATGCTGTGCCTCTTGTGATTATTTTTCTTTGCAAATCTTCGAAAGGGAGCTCTGGGTTTTGGGCAGGCAGTGCTCGCTTTATTTCTCATGTTTCCACGCAGCGAAGCCTCACTACCAATTAGTGTGCTGAGTGTATTTCAGTGTGAAATAACTATTGCTGTCGCAAGGAAATCTGCGCCTGCTCTAACGGCAATGCCAATTAAATGCAAAAACAAAAGCATCATCGCACAACCGCAAAATCTTCACTAAGACACAAACCTAGAGAAGCAAAAATACTAAAAAAAAAAAAAAAAAGTTAAGAGCTTTAGGAAGGAAAGCTCAGGCCTTAAAGCTGAGCTCTCACTTATGTGCAAACAAGCAGTGTCTTTGCAAACCTCCCTCACTGCTGTGAGCAGCTGGTGGAGCAGGCAGGAAAGGGCTTTCCTAGGTGCTCCTGCAGGGCTGCCCCAGGGCAGGAGGGAGACACTGGGGTTTTCCCTGGCAGGAAGCCCCTGAGCTGCTTTAGCAGCCAGCAAGAGCACCAGGTAGGTGCTCAGTGTCCCCAGGCTGCAAGGTACAGTTTAGCTCGAGGACAGCAGAGCAAGCTGCGGTTTGTGAGTGTTTGAGAAGGGCTCAAACACTCGGTCCTCTGCCCCTAACAGCAACATGCAGCTTGAAAGAGGATTCAGAGCCAGAGGAAATCAGGACTACAGCAATAACTTGAAACCAAGGAAGCTTGTCTGCCCTGGCCCTACCAGGTGTCAGCCCTGCACAGCAGTGTGGTCATTTCGGAAACCCAGCTTGGCATATAGCAGGTGATTTTTTTTGAAGTGGAAGAGAAGCATGACTTTTGGTTTCTTTGCAATTAAGTAGACAGGAAAAGCATTTTTCCTGTTGAGAAACTCCCTTGGGATGTTAAGCTCTGGGTCTTTCGGTGCCAAGTATGTTATTATTTTCAGTTACGGAAAAGTAAGTTGCACTGAACAAGAACACAGTCTTTCACTCTCCAAAAGCTCCATCCTTCCCTTCACTGGGAAATCTGATGGAGGGAAAAGCAGTAGAGACTGCAGTGTCAAGAACAAATTTAGACAGTTAAAAGATTATACTCTAATCTGGTTTAGATGCAGCATTAATTGTCTCTTATCACTGGAAAAAAAAAAAGTGTCTACCTTTGCTCTGAAATGCTTGCTGTAATTGCAGGGGTTGATTTTAAATGGTAAGACATCTTCTTTTACTGTATGTAGTTAAAATCATCAGACTTACTATTGAACAGACTGAATTAAGGATAAACAGAAGGTCACAGTTTTCAGAGGAAACTTGCTACCCAATTAAAATATTTGTTTTTGACAATCTGTTCATATGATGGGGTGCATGAGTAAAATCTTGTGGACATCACTGCTTCATGCCTGCTGGATTGAACAGACTGAATAGTCTGGACTATGATAGATCCTATCTTGGTTTTCTGTAAAAATGTGTCCTCTTGTGCGTGCCCAGGATTGAGACCCTTCTTACCGCTGACCTGTCCATTGGCTCCAGCAGGCCTGACAAGGGGGCTATGCAGAAAGGCCAATACATTCCCATTGATGTCAATATGTGCTGCAGAAAGAACTAATTTTCCGGGCTCACCATTCTCTATCTTGCGGTCACAATGATTTCTGTAAATTTCACCTACTGCTCTAAAATGTGGCAGGGATCTGGGAGTAAGGATTGATACCCCGGCCAGGATCCAAATGAGAAAACATCTGCCCACTACCTGCCTTGGTTCAAGATCAGTTAGGTTGATAGAAGAGCAGCTCAGTTTCCCAAAGGCATCTGGCAATGAAACCACCTCCCGTCTTCCCATTCTCCTTCAGGTACTTGAAGATCTCCACGGAACCTAAGGCTCTGCCAACTGAAATGTCTCTCCTTCACTTTCCTCCTCTTAAAAAACCCCGTTCTCACGTGCAGTTATGGAGAGAGCAGCCTCGAGGGGAGTGCTGAGCTGAGCTGGGGGCCGCCACACTCGGCCTTGCTGCTGGTGTCGCTACCGCCGTACAGCCGGCGCCGGCACCTCGCGGCCCAGGCTGGGAGCTCGCTGGGGTCGCAGTGCCGGGCTTGCGACATCTGCTTCCACCAGCTGCTCACTAACAGAAGGTGGATTCCTTCCACCCAGCAGCAGAAAGCAAACTCATGGTGCCTTCCTGCTCGTTACAGCTGTGCTCTTACCTGGTAGCCGGCGTCATTACAGGTCATGTAACATTTGCCACAGTTGATACACGTTTCCTCGTCAATCACAGCCACCACTTGCTCTGTGTTGCTGAGCTCGCCATATGCTCCAATATACTGCAGTGCTTTTCCAATTACATCCTAGGAAAAAAAATTATTGACTCATTCAGGAGATACCAAAATTGTTTCTGTAGCTGCGTAAGAGAACACTCTAGTATTTTAATAAGCACGAGTTAGCTATCATCCTGATGATGTTCAGAATTTTTGTTATAAATGTTAAAGTTTTCAAGCTTAACATATGCCGTAAAATGCAAAGAATGCTCCATACAGGAACATTTCAAATGCAGGAAGCAGTTAAAATACTTAGGTGTACACTAATAAGTTACACATTTAGCACCTGATTTTGAAGGTGCTACTTTAATCCATCTATGTTTTTACCATTGTCTTGTAAAGCTTCAAGAAGCAAAATGGAAAAGAGGAGAGACGCAAACACATCACAAAAGCAATCATCTCATCATCCCGGTTATTTTTTAATAGCACAGACTTAAGAAGTCACAAGAAGAAAAGAAAGGGGCATAATCAAATAAACTGACAAAGAGAACAATAGTTGCTGTTATTTCTTTAGAAATATGAGCAAATGATCATGTGTTTATTGGAAATCTTGCACAGGAATAACATGTGGCTCTGATCCTGCGACTCTTGATGCAGTTCTGTGAACGTCGCAGATGCCCAAGCGGAGGTTGGTGTGATCAGGCTTCTGATCGTGGCAGGGCAGAGGACGGGCACAGGCCGCAAGGGGCAGACCTCATCTCCGCAAGCAGCTCTTGGGCTACAGCAGACCTCAAGGCAGCTCTGCTGGATGTAAAGAGCAGGGCCTAGTTCAGTGGCAGCTCGACTGCTCTGGGTTGAGCTAGAGGTCGAGATTTAGCGATACCTACTATGAGGTAGGGACGGGACAATCCCGGCCGTTCAGACCACACGGGCAGAACAGCACCCGGGTACAGCACAGGTCTAAGGGGCCGCCGACACCCACTGCTGCCTGTTAACAGACCCACTTAATGGCAGTGCTACTGGTTGACTGGATGTTTTCTGATGTTACTGAATGGGCTTCAGCAACGATCCCTACGTTGAAAAACAAGCTAGATTTTAAATATGGGGTTCTATATTGTTAGAAAAAAATAATTGTGGTCAGTAAGTGTGGGTTACAGGATGCAACAAGACATTTTACTTTCACTGCGAAGTCAGGAATAATTGTTAAACGTTACAGAAATTTCACTGAGTTACAGGAGAGCAGAACTGGCTTCAAAAAATCACATACCGTAATAAACCAAGAAGTCATTATGATTTTCATTATGGTACTTGATCCAAGTCAATTGAAAAACTCTCAGGATCAAGCCAAATATGCGACATAGACAAACCTGTCTAGAATTATAAGCTTCAAAGTGTTTACCTTTGGTCTTGCATGACCAAGAAACATGATAAGAATTTGTTTTCATATTCTGTTTCTCAATATTTTTTGAACAAGCAATACTTGATCAGTCAAAAAGTGTTCTGAAATGGTTAGCAAACACTTTGAGCCTGTAGTACACTACATTTAACCTGTATAATTTATAATCACATACAATGCTCTATACTGTTTCCATTCCCATTTAGAAAAATTGAAGAACTGGATTACAGTAACTTAAATTTTCATTACATATGTTATTTTAGGCAGTTTTACGTTGAAACACATTGATCATCAATGATTCTTCTTATGCTGCTTCGAAGAAAAAAAGCCAGTAGGACTTTATTAATGTTATCTCAAAATGAAAGCTCTGCTACACAAATTAATGCAAAAATGGGCAATGGCATCTCTTCCCGAGGACACCGAAAACTTAAGCAAAAGTTCTGCTTCTTGAACAAATTGCTCCTTTTCATTTCAGAGAAGTTTTAACTTTGAGGCCTTGATCATTTATATCACAAGAGTATCTTTATGCAATGAGGCAAAATTGTAGCTCACTGGATCCAGGATCTATGGGAAAAGGGTGTTACTTTTAATGACAGCTGAGGTATGAAATTCAGTCACATCTCAAATCCAGGAAGACGGCCATGGAAATTCTGAATAATCAGACATTGGCCTGTGCCAAAGCCCTGAGTTGCTTACGTATGAAACACCTTGGTGGCATCTGTCCAAGAGCTAAATCTAGACCTTCTTAGCAATGTGTCTTTGGCATTAATGATTTTTCTGGATAAACCAGGTAACAGCTCATTGCTAAAGGCAATATGAAAATAGAACCAGAGAGAGACTCGGTGCGTGTGGATGGATAACTGCAAGTGAGCAAGACATCATGGCTTAACGACTTAGCGCTCATCACCAGACCTATGTGCACAGTCTAAATTCATTGCAAATTTGAAGCAAAAATCTGTTTGCTTAAACCACTATTAAAGGTCAATTAACCACCATGAAAGTGTTTAAGCTAATACTTTTTACTTTGCTTTTGCAAAGGGCTAGGCTTGAGTATACAGCCCTTTACTCTGCTTCCACTGATGAGCTACATAACTCAATCAAAACTAATCCCTTAAGAGAACTGCCCACACCTGTATTTTCATTTCTGCATGGTACTCAGGAACGTTCACGATTTACTCGGTTGCTCAGCAGGCTCAGCGATGCAATTGTTTTCGGGTTTCTATTGTGTTCTGCACCAGAATTTTAAAATTGTAACTGTAGAATTCTGCTCAAGTTTGTTGCAAGCTTCCTGTAGGGTTGTCAGCCTGAATGAAACCTGATACAGATTTCAAAATATAGAGGCGTATCTTTGTGTAGTCTACTGCCGCCAGCAATATACAGTATCCTAAAAGCCGCACTCTTGTAGATACAGCCCCCAAATCTTCCAATGTACATCATACATGCAAGTGGTGCCCACAACACTGGACTGTCTATCCTTCTTTTGAACAAAAGACAGAAAATCTGTGCAATATAGAGTGAAGTAGCTTTTCACTGTCTGCTCATGATTTAAAGGTATCTACACGGGGAGATTCCTAATAGTGAAGAGCTTCTTATTCTAACAAAGGCATCGCAAAATGCACGGCTGGGAGCTTAAGATATAAAACCCACAACTGGAAAGCAGGCAGACATTTAGACAGCTGAGGGAACTAACCTGGCACAATTTTTCTAGGGAGGTGCTGGATTCCCATCTGTGTTCTTTAAGAAGGTGTTGGATGTTAAAATAAAAAACAAAGGTAGTTGAAGAGCTGCTCAGGTAATCAGTGGATGGAGGGTCTTGCTTCCTTCCAAGAGGACACACAAAAAGCCTACCAGGATGTTTAGCGTGGAAAGACGAAGGCAGAGCAGATATGATGTCTCTTTTTATATACATTAGGGAGGGAAAAGAGCTATTTAAGCTAGATGACAATGTTGGCTCAAGAACACATGGCTATAAGCCAGCCAGGAATAAAATTAAAGCTTTAAATTAGATTTTTTTTTAATATGAAACAAGTGAGGTGGTTAATAGTCTTCCAGATAAGTGGTAAGAGAGACAGACCATATTTTAGCATAGCACCAGGTAAGCTGAGGAAAGGTATTGAAATCGTTGCTTAGAACATGATCAAAATGGATTTTTTCCAGCCATAAAACCTACAAAGGGAATAACAAAAGCACTGCACGTGACAGTGTTGAATTTATAACTAAGTCTTGCTTCTTCCAGATCACAAAGCACACTTTGTGGGGCCTAGGATCCCCGATAAGGAGGATGATGGCATTTTACAGGCTTGGAAGTGATTGCAAAAGACTGTGTCATTGACTTACAGCCCATTTACACCCCTGGATGAGCTGTCTTTTAATCACCTGTTTCTCTCAGGCAAGAACTATATCTTTATTCATCTGTGAAGTTTCAAGACTTTATTGCCTACAAAAGTAACAGTACTTACAATGTTTTGCAGGTGCACTCTTTTTACAGCTTCTTAAACTATCTCAGAGCTTCTTGCTTCCATCAAATCATAAATGTTTGGAACAAAATAAACAGTGCAGCAAGAAATAATCAGCTTTCGCAGCTGAAAGTGCAGTTTTACTCTAGAAAGTGACTGTCTAAAATGGCACTCTGGGATTCTACACTTAGTGCATCTCAACGGCCTCCAGATCAAATTTGCACTGTTTACTGTATAATGATTTTTTTGGCCAACTGTCAGACCCGCCGACAGAAGTCAGGTTGTGAAAGTCAAGCTGTGTTCTTTCTGCCTTGTGCATTATCAGCAGCAATAAAGAAAATCTGAAAGTTAAATTTTGTCCTGGGTTACACCTTTGCAATCTCAATGACTTGGAGCGCTCCTGTAGGTTCCCGCTGTGCTGTCCCACTCTTCTCAGCAAAACCACACCGAACACACTAGGAAAGGAATTTAGTCCTGCAGCCGGCCCTGGCAGGGAATTCTGTTGCTATGGTGAGAACGAGAGCAGAATCCATTAGTTTTATGTTACTAATGAGTACAGAAAAAAATTCATTCTGTCACTAAGCTAAGCAGATGTGGATTTGAGTACACACAAGGAACAGATCTGTTCAGCAGGATGTCCTTATTTTTACATGCTACTTTTATTACTACAGTTGCATTTTTAATGCTAATATATCAAGCATTTTACAGCGATTAGCTTTTCATTAGTTGTCATGTGAGTAAACCTATAAGATAAGAATACAAGTGTCAGTCCAGGTGTAATTCCTCAGTGGCTTTGGGAGCCACAAGTCTCCATGTTCATGCAAACTCCATTCTGTGAGGGTCAGCACAAGTCTCTCTCTAGCGAGTTGTGAACAAGGGTCTCATACAGGAAATTCAAAGGGAACATGTATGCCTGTGCTTTTAGTGTGCACTTGAGTCCCCATGAAACGCTAGGCACGTTACACGATGGTGACACTGTCAAGTGACACTGTCAGCAGCTGCCTGTGAGGACCATCGGTGGAGCCAGAGGCATCGAGCTCTGCCTCCCCTGAGCAGCAGCCTGTCCCCGGGGTGGGCTCCTCCTCCAGCTGCAATAAATCATCTAGAAAAGCTCTGCACGTGGTCCCAAGTGCTCTAGGAGTTCTTTATTATCGAGGAGATGTTGCTGCAGCTCTCAAAATTCAATAGGTTCTGAAAGAGCAAGGGTCTCCGCAAGAATGTCCTTACAGAGGATACAGAGAGCACTGAAAGCAGATGAAGTGCTGCAAAGAAACTACATGGCTTGTCTGTACCCATCTTTTGTCGCCTTGAGAGACCTACCTGCCTTCCACATGCTCAGTTTTTTAGTAATAAAGGTGAGGTATTACCAAAGGCAAGGAAAACAAAAGAGAAAAGTTGGGAAAAATAGATTAAGAGGAGTAAGCCACCAAGACAAGAGAGTCGGTCAGAGTGAATTTAATATAAAGTAGCTAACGAAAGTATGTCATTTCATTAAAACAAATATTATTATATTGAAAGATTACAAACACTTGCTAACAGTTAAAGAAGTTACTAAATGTGCTCTGAGATTGAGAGACCTCCAAGCCTTTTTTTTCAGTAAATCAAGTAAAACAGTTGTGGTACTAATTAACGACAGACTTACAAAACAACTCAAATGAACCTTTATTACATAACTCAATATGGCTTTTGTAAAGGAAAACTGTGCTTCTCGGATCTATTACAATTCTTTACATACACTGTGAGGCAATAAATACAGAAGAACCAATTGGTAAATTTTACCTTTCCCAAAGGGCCTCTGACACAGCCTTTCACAAGAAATTAAGCAGCCATGAAGTGGGAGTGGATATTGGCTGAGCAAGGTGACTAAACAGAAATAAAAGGAAATAAAAAGCTGGAATATGATGATCTGAAAAGGCAAACTATTAACAGAGGAAAGGGCTCAGTTTTCTAGTTTGTATGTGAAATTGCTTCATATTGTGTTTACCTGTGTGTCAGGTAAAGGTCTGAAACAGAGGCCTTTGAAGTTGACACTGGTTTTAGTTTAAACTAAATTGAAGAAAACTCTGGAGAACTTGTACATACACCGTGTCCTCCTTCCTCTATTTCGGGCTACTAGCTCAATACCATTCATTACACAGCCCCTTTAAGCTATCCACAGGCAAACAGGAGGCAGAAGGAAAAGAAGGGTTGAGTCTAGGATGTCTCCACACATCTAAAGATTAGCTCAGCCTTGCTTAAACTGTCATATCTAATGAGAATCCTTTCTGAAGTACTGTGCTAGGGAAGGGATCATTACAGACTATTGCTATTGCAGTGATTCATGTTGGAGCCAATACTTGGAGAAGCAGAGTCCCACAAATCACGGCTGCAGGATTATTCTAGAGGAAAAAGAAGGCCTAGATACATAGTTCCACCTGATATAAGCAAGTTCATGATGAAGAACACAACTATATCATCTTTTGTAGGCAGGCAATCTACTCGCATGTGCAACCACCGTGACGCAGGCCAGGACTGATCCAAACGGTGCACGGCTCGGGCACAACGTGCTACCTCACCTCTCCTTTAGTACAAGCTTAATAGATCGCACTCAACTCTGCAGTAAACATGACTCGATGGCCTCCAACCAGCTACTTCCAGCACTGGTAAAACGGACTCACACACATGTGCAAAAGCCCATGAAGACATATTGTCAGTCATGAGGGAAACCAGTTCACACAGGAGGACTGCAACCTTGAGAGACACTACAGATATTTTTCCAACAGATCTGGGACAACACAGCATGTCTTAGCTACGCTGATAAGCAAAGCTATGTCAGAAAGTTTCAAGTAGCTTAAACTTGTTGAATTGGGCAATCTATGCAGCAAGACTTGTGGAGAAAAACAAGAACAACAAAAAACAGATAAATGAGAATACAATATTATGGTATAGGCCCTCAAGAACAAAGAACTAAATTATTAGGAAAAAAAAACAGAAAAGATATAAAGAAAGAAAATTAAAGTAATAAGGAGATAACCTGAGGTAGGCAAAGACATGTATTGCAACTGTGCAGAAATGCAACTAAAACGAAAAGATCCAGGGCATGTATCTGAGCACTGCAGGAATTCTGATATTACAGAAAAGTGCAAAAAGAAACAACTCTGCTGAATATCAAAGTATGTCGTTTCAATTAATATTGAAAAAAAAAAGAGAAAATAAAGAGAAAAGCCAAGGGAAAAGCTATCCAAAAAATAAATTAGATTCTGGCTAATCACAGGGAGTTTTATGTCCATAAAATAAGGCATTCTGGCAGCAGCTAGATTTTAAACAAATGTTGGCATTTACATATCAGCAATCCAACAGCAGATCAGGCAAATGAGGGAGTTCCAGGCAGGCATCAGGAATTTTCAAGCAACCAGCCAAACCAAGGGCATTGCTGGTGAGGACACTCAGCTCTGAGGTCCAGGCAGCTTTCTAGAGTACCTATGTCTCCCTTTTTCCAGGAAACTGCAGGTAGGGTGGGGAGTAGCTGTGAGAGGTGAAAGGATCTAGAGCCTTAACCCATGCAAACACCAGGTTTCACAGACAGTCCAAGCAGATGCTGTGTAGCCAGCCTCACTGGGGGCTACAGTGGGGAAGGAGAGGTGACCCACCAGTTTGTCTCTACAAGCTGGAGAGCTTTGCAGACATGGGAGCTGATAATTCTTAAGTGAGACCAGTTCTGGGATAGTTACAGCTAAAATCACTCAACAAGCTCACTGGACTGTCCTTGTGGCAAGTCTGTGGTCAGGGAAGGGTACCAGAGCCACCCGCTCTCATTAAGCTTCATTCAGCTTCTGTAAAGAATATGCTGGCTGTTCCTGGCAGATTTTCTCAACAACATCTTACAGATGGATCTATTAATTAAAAACTTTGTTCGCATGTCATGAATCCACCTTAGCGCTTCCTACCTTCGCCTAATTGTTTCAGTATTTTCCATCTTGTTTAAATTAAGGCTAATGTGATTCCTGAGAAGCTCCTCACAGACACCACATAAAAGCATTCAATGTCTTTCTAAACAAAAGGGGTTTTTTTGGTCTTCCCTGAAGTAGGTTCTCTTTTCTTCTTTTTAGCCAATCTCCTACTATTGAGTTCTCTTTTTGCTTTTGTACTTGGAGCTGGGCATGATAAATTATTGACCTTAACTTTTTATTTATGTTTCTTTTTTTCAAGTCTTTATGTCTGTCTTTCGCTCTTGCTAAACTTTTCCTTCATTCTGTTTATTTGCTTTTGGATGGTATTAGTTTTTTGGTTTTTCTGTTGTTTTTAGAAGCAAGCTATCTCATTGAAAATGCAGTTATTGGCTGTTGCTTTTCCTTTCTCTTATGCCCAACATCAATACTCTCCCTGCAAAGAGAATAGAGCCATAAAACCTTTGAGGTCAAGCAGTCTTTGAAAATGTTCATCATTGGCAAAGAGAAAAAGTATATATATATTGCTGTTCTTCGGATCCTTTCATATACATAGAGAAGGGAACCTCAGCACGCACAGTATAGCACAGCATAAACCAAAATAATCAGGCCCCAAAAAGGAAGGGAGGTCTAAGGAAGTGGCAAATTCTTCAACTTAGAGAAGACGATGACTCAAAGATCGTCTTTGATCTTTTCGGTATTGTATCAACTACCTGGCAATGCTACATGTGCTGGTAAATTCTGCAATATTCTCTCTGGAACAATATGTGCTATTTTGAGCCACGGATTGATCAATGTACTTATACTTTGTCTTTGGCCTTATTTTTGCAAGGATTCGCAAAGGCCTGATCATATGGTGGAAGTTACCTATCTGCGATTGGGTCCTAAGTTTTACTTTCACCTTGACATTTACTCATTGTGGCAGTGGATCAATTACTTAAGCAAGCATTTTCCACCTTTAAAAGTCGAGTTTGAAAACCAAAAGCTTAGTTTTCATAGGTATTGAACAGCCCAGCTTTTTTTTTCCCCATTGATCCTGCATGAGAAATGCAGGTATTTAGCACATCACAAATTATCAAAAAGTAACATGCAGAGCTGAGCTCATCCTGTAAAACTGAAGGAAAATATTAACAGTTTTCCTTCGCTCTTCAAGGCATTATTCCTGCCTTGTTCTACAATTAGCATTCCATTGCCTGAACATCTTGAGTTTGAAAAGGGCATTAAGGGAAAACCTATACACATGCATTGCAGATCATTCCTCATCGATTTTGGTTAAGAGCTGGGAAGTCTGCATAAATAGTTGTCTTTGATGCCCTCTTACAAGCTTAAAAGCAGTAATAACCAACTCAAACTGCTAGAAATGACTGTGCATGTCAACGGCTGATCACCTCTTATACATAAGCATATATTTTATTACCTTGATTGCTGGAATGGGCTTCTTTGGAATGAAATGCTTCTTCTCGGGAAGCGAAACAGCTATGCTCTGTTCCTTCAGCTTCAGCTTGTTCTCGGCTATTATCTTTTTACGTTGTTCCAGGTAAGGCCCAAAACTCGGTAGCTTCTGAAATAAAAAACAGGAAGCATGATTATGCTTAATGGGCAGGCAAGGCAAAGAGAACGAGCCAGATCCTAAGGGCAGGATCCTAAGTTGTGACTGGTTTCCTACACGGGAAGCTGAAATCAAAATCAGTGGGACTGTTCTAGAGTGAGGGAGTGAATAAAAAACAGATATGAAATTCAGAATCTTACTTGACAATAAATACTGAATATTAAAATACTAATACACCATAGCAGGAAAATAGCTGAATTGCAGGTCAGCATCCAACAGGCTTCTATTTCTCCAGTGCACACTTGCTTATAAATAAAAATGTATTATGTTAAATAATTCAAATGTGTAACTTCATTCCTTAAGTATGTGGAAAGGTGTCATAAAACTATCAACTTACTTGGAGAGGTTATACTAATATCTGAGACTACTTTTAGGGATATTTGGATATGTCTACGTACTTTTAAAGCACAGAAACACGTATTTTGTGATGATGAAAGTGGGCTATTGGGTCTGTCAAAGTAAGGCTAACAAATGCCAAATGAAAAGAAATGCAATTTGTTTTCATAATTTACCTCCATATCTCAGTTACAGATTTTTCTGTGACATTTTACCCTTAGGCCTGATTAAGTACTAGAGGATTTAATTAAATACAAAGCTCATGTCTCATCCAGGAACACTGAAAGTGCTAGCTCAGATTTCATAAACTGTCATAAACATACAAAGAGCTAGGGAGATACAGTAGCCTGCCATGAGCTCAGACACAGGCGAATGAAACACGCTTAAAAACATGGGTTTTTGCTTGTTCAGCAGACTATGTCCCTCCTCTCCTGCAAGTAGTTCCCTGCGCTGCAGAAGTATTTTATCCACCTAACTACAACCCTGTTCAGAAGCTGCTCCAGTCCTGCAGAAACTCCCAGGTAGTAACAGGGGATATGTAGCCTCAGCAGTTGCTAGTGTTAGTTCACGCTAATAAAACAACTTCAAAGGGCATAGCCAACAAGACAGAGTACTGCTGTGGTTATCAATTTTTTAAAGAGGGAATTTCAATGCGAATTTCAAACTCAGAATTATTTAAAAATTTAACACTTTTTTTTTTAATAAAGTAAATTCAGAACCAGTTACCTTGTTCTTCTGATAATCCTTAGGAGGAAAATACTTCAATGAGCTCTGCCAATCACCACACCCAGCTCTGGGACCTCGGCATCTTAATATGACAAATAACAGCTTTCTTGGCTGCCTGGCTTTTGGCACTCTGAGCACATAGCCAAAGGCTGAGGCCCTTGAAACGCTTCCCAGCTTCTGAGACTTGGTCTCTGTCCTCAACACATTTTAATTTCAAGTCAAAACAAGACTTGGAGGCTCTGGGTGGTTTCCAAAGCAGGAGCTCTGCTGCAGAGGCCTAGCACGAGCCATGGTCTGTGGCAAAGCCTCCATCCAGAGAAACACACGGACAGGATCAGGAGGTCCTGCAGATCCCTTCCTTCCCACACCTAGAGGTAGCCTGGGTTTGGAACCTACCAAAGGGAAACTGGTTTGTCTGTTTTATGGGAACTTTGTTCCTTAATGTTAGATCCAATGGTTTCTCTACAAATGTCAACTCTGTAAGTCATGAATATGAACTTGACAGAATTCATAAACGATAAGGAAGGTTTGGCTCCTCTATTGCACCACAAATAACATTCACATGTTAAAAGAAGGCAGTAGTGGACTGCAAAATATGTATCATAACTTCAAGGGTTATCATTAGAAATAAATAATCTTTTCTTTCTGTGTAGATGAGATTTCTGTTTGTCATGAGAAAAAGTTCCAGCACGTCTTACCTTACACTAACCTTTTAAAAATAATTGCAAGCAAGAGTAAAATAGTAGCCTTACCCACCAAAGCAAAGCAACAGGAAAATGAGCAAGAGGAATCACCTGCCTAATTTCACTCGGGGCAACAGCCTAGGAAGCGCCCACAAAGGGAATGGGTTCTGCAGAGCATTTTAGGAGGCTCTTACCTACAAGCCAGCAATACAAGTGCCAGAGAAGCTACTCGTGGGGCCTGCCGGGCTGCGGCAGCTAGAAACAGGCTGGTGCGGCCAGCAAACAGGGGCTGCGGCGCCTGCGGGACCGCGGCACCGGAGCCAGCAGCGCCCGGCACGCCAGGGAAGCAGAGCTGAGGCCACAGCACCGAGGGCCCTTCCCTCTCCAGGCAGCATCTCGCTCGCGGCCTTGCCGAGTAGGCAGCAAAGTTAATTTTGCTGAGGAGTCAACTGACGTGGCACAGAGAAGAGACACCTGTTTATGGCTTCACTCATTAGACAGGATCATCTTTGGGAAGAGTAGTCAAATCTTTGCAGAATAAATCAGCTGCTTTTGTATATTTGTAATGTTTGCACAACCTCCTAATTTCACAACCACATTGAAATAAAGCAGGTGATCTGAGGAGAAGTTTGGGGAAAAGGCAACCATTTTTAGGTATAGATGAAGAGTGCTTTACTATGGCAATTCATTCATTTTCTAACTTTTTTTCTAAGGTATGATCTCAAAGTACTCACGTTTTTACAACTATTACAGCTGCTAACTGGAATGTATAGCAGACATTTTGAAAAGCATGTGCTGTCATTGGTGCTGTAAAGAAATTACATTAGATGTTCTGTAATTACATGAATGTGGTTAAATGATTTTTTCAAAATAAATGAAGTGATGATTAATCTAGAAAACTAAAATCCAACCTGAGGTTTTACTGCCCAATCTTGTATTTCCATCAAGAATTTGATTAAATGAAATGAAAAATCATTAACTAAGCGCCTGTATCTTATTCTAGTCTTGGGGACGTAGCTTCCATTGACTGGTTGGAAACTGCCTGTGTGCCTTTATAAATGACTTGATTATTTTGTGTTTGGAGTCTGGTCACTCACAAGCAGCCAAGCCAAATTTTATCCAACACTGAAAAACAGCAATCTTTCTATACCAATAAATAATACACAAAAATGTAGCCTCAGGATCTCAGGAAGGACATTATTGAAGGCTCCCTTACAAGTAATGCACAGATACACAGAAGGTCGATGAAACTCTTTATTGCTCCGAGTGGCAGTTTCAAGCATTTTGGAGTCAAAGGTACATAATATGTGAAGTGGCACACAATATTATAAAGCACTGGAATAAATATGTGCAGCATAGCTTGTTTAGAGACTGCAACAAGCGGAGTAATTAGCTAAGGTTTGCTCATATACACATCAGTCTATAGTTCCATAATTTGCATATATTTGTCTCTATATAGCCATAACCAAATGTGTTTCTATTGCATATATAAACACACACAGACACACACACACAAAAAAAAAAAAAAAAAAAAAAAAAACCACCAACTGGTTTTATTTCATTGTTTATAACTGCATTATCCCAAAGCTAGAAGCCTGAAACATTGTCCTGGAGTATTTTACAGAAGGAAAGAAAGAAAAACAAAACAAAAAACCTTTCTTGCTAACGACTTCCAAAAGCTGCCTTTTAACTGACGAACTGTACAAAGCTCCAATAACATTGTGATTTTTTGTTTCAGTAGTTTCTCCAGGGATTCATCATTGATGAATTTGTTCTCACCAGAAAAGCTAAATCCTACTCATTTAAAGATAACAGTATCTTCCACTAAAACTGTCTCAATCCAGATATAAAAAAGCATTATCCTGCCAATAGAGAACTGACAACATAATGAATCAACAATGAAACCTTAAGCCAGAAAAGCTTTAAGGTGAATAAGTCTGTTTTGATTATAATTTATTCATGGATCAATCTAAAGGTAATTGAGCGTATTATCAACTAAAAAAGGTGCTTGTTTCCTAATGGCAAGAAGTAGAGGGTATCTCTCATTTTACAGAGCTCTAATCGTTATCGGAGCATTAGCAAGTAGCCCTTAATTGGAATGGAGGTGGATCAGGCTCAGACTAGTGAACAGAAGACTAAGACTTTATGTCTGATTTCTGCACTGGTCTGCTGCCTTATTCCAGGCAAGTCAAGGTGTACGTCTCCATGCCACGGCGAAGGGTTGTTTATTTGGGCTATCTCCTGCTACAGGGCTGCACGCTGTCTACTGTTATAAGACCCAGATTTCATCTGGGACAGGTAGGTATCATCATAAACCAAAAATAAGTACACACAGCACTACTGTACCCACAGCGCTGGAGCGCATCTGAAGTACATCCTGCTGGTATTTGCTAATGAGATGAAGGACAAAAAAGAACACCAGAAAACAGTCATTTTCATAAATGAGATTTTTCAGGGAGTAACTCTCATAAACTAAACTAAGAACTTATATAAGTAATTACGAGAATCACTGGCATGTGGAATTTGGGGTAAATATCATTTATTTATGAGGCAACAAGGTTTAAAAATGCTGTTCCCCCATAGCTGCAGAATTTTTCATGTCAAATGCAATACTGTTATACAATTTCTTTTATATTTGACTATTGCCTCTACACGGAAGTATGAACATTCATTCTGTAAATTCCCCTCACGCACTTTCAACTTGTGAACAATTTTAAGTGCCACACCGTCTCGTCCCTCACATACCTGGAAAGTTTTCAAAAAAGTTCACAAAAGTTTTTTTCAGTCTTCATTCTTTTTCTTGTCTTGTTCTACTGTCTGCAGCAGAAACATCTGCACTTGAAAAATACAAAGTCTGACACGCTGAATTGCTAAAGGAGAGTTAAAATTGCTCTAATGAAACAGTATGGGCTGGATGTAGTACTGATGCATTAAACAAAGGCCCACATACTCTGTGGTTATGTAAATGGCTGGATAATTTTCTCACTTTCTCACATACTTTGCTGTATAAATCACTAGTGGGTTTTAGAAATCAAACACAATGTTGATCTTACACTTCCTTCTCTATAGCTTGTATTTATTAATAGGTTTTTCTCTGATGTTACTTAACCATCAGTGTTCTCTGAAGAAATGACAGAAGAAAGAAGGAGAAAATAAAAAAAAAATCTCAAAATGCCTGGGAAGGACCTCAGTGGTGAACTACCTTCC